CCCAAGGTGGAGGACCTTGCATTTTTTGGTGTTAAACACCATCAGGTTCTCATCAGCACATTTGCTGATCCTGTCCAGGTCAGCGTGGATCACCCGCCTGTCTTCTGGTGTGGATGCTTTGCTCCAAATTTTGGTGTCATCGGTGAACTTGGCCAGGCCGCTCCTGACTCCAATGTCCACATCATTAATGGAGATGTTGAACAATATGGGTCCAAGGACAGAGCCTTGGGGGACCCCACTGGTCACAGGACACCATGATGAGTGACTTCCATCAATTACTACCCTCTGGGTCCAACCACGGAGCCAATTTCCCAGCCAGCAGATCATGGTGGACCCAAGGCCACAACTGGCCAGTTTTGCCAAGAGGTGATCATGGGATACCAGAGAGAAGGCTTTTTTGAAATCAAGATATAGGACATCAATCTCTTCTCCTTTGTCCAGGTGATAGGTCACCTGGTCGTACAAGGAAATGAGATTGGTCAAGCAAGACCTACCCGCAACAAACCTGTGCTGGCTATCCCTTAGGGTGTTGGCGTCAGCCAGTCCATTAAGGATGGCCTCTTTATTAAACTTTTCTAAGATCTTCCCTGGGATAGAAGTCAGGCTGATGGGCCTATAGTTAGCTGGATCCACTTTCCTCCCTTTCTTGAAGATGGGCACCACAGCACAGAAGGAGTTAAGATGAGGTCTTACTCTTCTTACTAGGTGTTTAAATGGACTTACATGCATAAGTGCAACCCTATTCCATCCTTCTGGAGTCCCTGACAAGCCTTCTGTAAGTTTACTTCTGTAACACCATCATCTTAGCCTTAAGATGGAGTCACAGGCTAAGACCCAACCATCCACTTTTGTGATAATGTTTATTTAAGGATTCAAAGAAGAATGGGATCACACTTGGATGCCCAAGCTGATTTAAGGTGAGATGGGATGCTTCCAGTGAGACCTGGGCAACTCCTTTAAGGCCAGTTCCTAAGTTACAGGTTAGCAGCCTCACCCCTGAAGCAGGCCTCCTTTATCCCCATAGGGCATCATTACCAGAGGTTCCACAGCCCCCTCTCAGAGTAGTTTGGCAAACCTGACAGCATCTGATGAAGTGAACTTGGGTTCATCAAAGCTCATGAGCAACTGGTGCCTCCCCCATCTGGAGGGACACCAGATCACCAATGAGGTGCGGCCGGGGGGGGAGGGGG